TATACTCAAAATTGCTGTATGTAAACCACAGAGATTATCCTACCTTAATGCTGCCATTCTCCTCTTTCTCAATGAAATGATGACGAGAGCAAGGCCGAAAGATTGTTGCGCATATCAATGGACCAAGATACGACCAGCATCTATGTCATAGCCGTTAGAGAAACTGCAGAGTGCTTTTTATGAAGGAAACCAACCTGGGATAATGGCTCAGAACACCCAGTTCAACAGGGAACCTGCCGATATCATGGTCGCGTGTGTATTTGTAATTTATAGGTATTCCAAAGCACTTGTCATGCGGGAACGGCTGCTGGCCTGATGAAAACACTTCTTCAGAAATTAAATAATTAATATAAATCAGGTGCAAAACACTGTAACTGACATTTGCTGGTTTTTTGACGAAATTCCAACCTGCAATCTCTATCACATGACCATTTCTTGTCACGACACTCTTGAAAGTGTTGCAGAGTTGCTTGGATTTGCTAAAGAGATGCTTGCATGTAGTTAAACATGAATAAAATGGATAAAAACTTAAGTAAAACAACAAAATGATTTTTATAAAGTTTGATGAGAACCTACCAAGTGTGATTTGACATCTCCATCGTCTATGGTAAAGTTATCTATCCCATAAATGTCGCTGGAATCATAGTCGCTGTAGTCGGCCAGTTCGCCATCCAACCCTACATAATTATTTTGGGATGCTGTGATAAATTCAAAAAGACATACCTTGTGATAGCACCAGCACCACCAACAAGAAAGGTGGTCTCATTTAACTTCATAGGCGTGTCCAGAATTTTAAGATAACTCTGAAAAGTAGTAGGAGTATGCTTTGATAACTTTGGATAAGTGGAATTTGAAAATGCGACCAAATTACAGCTGCGGACAAAACGACATCAACGGCCGAGCACTATTATTGTGAAGAGCAGGTCAGTCGCACAATTCGCGACCTCCATAGCTCTCGGTCATGGTCTTCGTTGCGAATGTGCCCTGAGCTCCATTTTACTTTTGAGGTCCTACTCAAATAGAGTGATCGCACATTGAAATAAAAAAAAAT